TCCGGGCGAGCACCCGTCTGGGCCCGTGGGAGGCGAAGCTACACCCAGCAGGGCTGCGCCGGCTGTCGCCGGTGCTCGCTAATGTCGCCCGGCTTTTTAGCATTGCATTAGTTTTGCATTCATGCCGCTTTGAACCGACCCTTTACCTCCTCTGGAGCACTCGGCATACTCCAGAACCTGACACGCTGACAGTGGCCAGGGGATTCCCCTTCTCGGGCAAGCATCCCTGCCACCCGGCAACCCCTGGAGTGCCCAGGTTCTCTGATCGCTGCAGAGAAATGATTGGAGGTCCTGGCGCTGTGCATATGTCTCTGCTCTCTCCCGCGCCAACAGAGGAATGTCCTGCGGAAACAGAAACACTGGGAGAAAGTCATCATGGCAAAGAAGAGGAAGAGGACACAAGAAAGAGAGAGAAGAAAAGCAAGGCAGGCTGAAGGCAGAGGTAAGAGAGAGCCATCGTGCAGGTGTAGAGTGTCACAGGATCCAGTGAGGAAGGGCCTGGAAAGAAATGCAGGAGGCAGCAGGAAGCACCTACATGGGGATAGAAGCATGCTTTCTTAGGCACGCTGGTGGGGCCCTAGTGTGAGCGGTATAGGTCCCTCAAAGACTCCAGCCATGGTGCAGATTTCTCTTCTTTCTGCTCTGCATTGCAGGCACTACAGAACAGCAGAGCAAAAGGGTTCTGAAAGCCATCATGAAAGAACGCCTGCTGGAGGCCAAGGAGTCTGGGCCTCGGCTGTGTGTGGACCTCAGCATGGCTGACCGCATGACAAAGAAGGTACAAGGCGTCTACTTACCGCTCCCTTGTCCGTAGCTGCAACCTGTGAGTACAGTCCCGCTCTGGGACCATGAGACTCACAGGGACCCTGGTGACATCCCATCATAGCTTTGGGGCCTGACAGAAGTTGTTTTCAAGTGCTCATTCCTGTCTGCTTTTGTTATTGAAAGTAACTATCCCATCCAACAATGGTGCCTTGGAGATACCACCTTCTGCCAGCAGAAGTGAGCACTGTGCAGTAGGATAGAGGGAGAGGAGGAGGCTGGAGCAGGTCACTGGTTTGTTTTAACCATGCTAAGGAAGCTTAAGAAACCCTCCGTCTAAGCTAGAGCTGGGACACGTGAGGGTGTGCGCTGCCACAGAAACACACAGAGTGCACATAGCAGCTTTCCGGAGCTCAGGTTCTTGGGAGAAAGTGGACGCCTCCAGTGTTTGCCTGTCGCTTGGCCCCCAGGCCTGCTTGCTGTTGTCAGGTATTTAGTGCACTGGCTTGCTGCGGGCTCAGTTCTTTGGGTTTCTCTCTTTGGGTTGCTATGCTCCCTAGAAACAACTTCTCCAGAACCTCACTAGCCAAACTGTGTGACAAAAGTGCTCAGTGATGCAGGCCCTGGAATGGGGTCTTGGTGCTCCTCAGCCCTGGACATGCTGTGTGACTGTGCTTGTTCTTCCCTGGAAGGAAACGAGCCGCCTTGCTGCTCAGATCAGGAGACTCTATGGGGCCAACAAGAGGGCTGAAAAGCCATTCTGGCTCTATCTGACAGAGTTTGTGGTGGGCTCATCGATCTATGAGGAGTGCTTCCGCATGAACGATGGCTTCTGCAATTATTTGGTAAGGGTCTCTGACGACAGTGCTGCCGAGGCCTAGGAGGAATGGCTGCCCCATTCCAGTGGCTCATGTCCGTGCCATATAGCAACCTCCAGCCACAGTGCTGGCTCTCAGTGCTGAAGTGTAGGGGTACAGTTTGCTGTGCCAGACCTTCAGGGTTAGAGCTCGTGGTCCCTGCCTGCCTGCAGGAGGAGAAATCCTCCCAGATGCTACTTCTGTAAAGAGACCTGTGGGCCTGATGAAGGCAGACACACTAGGCTGCACAGATTTTGGGCAGGTCATGTATTCCTGGAGTTTTATGCGGAGCTTAGTGGGGCTCCAGTATGTAACCTGCACATACAGGTTATGTCAGTGACAGTGTCAGTGACGTTAAGCCATATGTTCTACAGCACATATGGGACTGCAAGTGGAAATAGTGAAGGAAACAAGCACGTGAAATGGAAATTCCTGAGTCTCTCAAAAACTGGAATTTCACTTAGAAATAGTTAATTATTGCTGATCTCCCTTCTTTAAGGCATGTCTAGAGATTTTGAGCAGGAGAGGATATAACAGATCTTGAGAAGTTTATTTTTTGTTTAGTGCACGTGCACATTTTTCAGTTTTAAAAAATAATCCTATCTGCAGCTGTGGAAACACCAATGGCAATGGTATCAGTTCCAATACACTTCTGTGTCTGAGAGTGGATTCTGCTATGGCAGATGGACTTTGGGCTAATGGGTTTCTTCCCTCTCTTGCCCTTTTCAGATGGATACAACTGAAGAAAGTTATCTTGACCTGTTTCCTTTGGATATGATTGTTTATCTCACTCCTGACTCCGAGAATGGTAAATATTTTACTTGAGGCACAGGGACACTAGGGTAAAAGACTGATTTTTAACCTTTTAGAAATTATTCTTAAATCCATATCGTACTTCCAGTGATTCAGTTCTAAGCATTCCGTGTCTCAGCTGCATGAGATATACGCTGTCCTTAGATCTGATGGTCAGTCCACTCTGATCTGATGGTCAGTCCACTCTGCCCTTCCCTTGGCAGGGAATGAGGTTTTGAATCAAGGCTGTGTGTAATCTGCAGCAAACCTAACTCTAAACCTATTTGTAGACCTCTGCAGTTTGTAATACTCCTAGCTAGCAAAGTGGAGATGCTGCGGCAGTTTTGGATGAAATTTAATTAGTATTTTTCTCTCCCTGAAAAAATGCAGTAGCTATAAGCCTTTGTAAGCCTTTATTGCTTAATCCATTGTTGTGTTTATTTTCTCCCCTTCCTCAATTTCTAACTGGTCACATGTTCTACAGACATAGATCTGTTTCTCATTTTATGGCAAAAGTCCAGCTCTGCTAAGGAAGCTGATACGGGCAGGGGAAGGTTTTGGTGAGTGGCACTGGGGTGACCGGTGGGGAGGCATTTGCAGAGCAGACTGGGATTAGACTAACCAGATCATCCACATGTCAGAGCAGACAACAGTGAAAAAATGAACAATGTGTTGCCTATAGACCTACATTTCCAGCACTCCGTGCTTTCAGCCTATGTCTGATGTCCCCCTCTCAGGCTGCCTGCAGGTTCAGGCAGACAGTTCAGGCTTAAAGGTCTCAGCCTACTGCATGTTCTGAAGTTCCAGAGTAGGGGGTGACTGGCCACCACTTTCTAGTGTAAGCGTGGCCTTGCCTGGAGAATGGTGCAAAGCGAGGTTTTACTGTTGTGTGGTGATGAGCATGTGCTTATTTCGTTTCTAGTCCTTGAAGACATTGATCCAAAAAAAGTGTACATCCTTGGAGGGCTAGTGGATGAAAGTATTCATAAGGTGGGTAACAGCCTCTCACAACCTGAAGCTTCTGTCTGTCCTATTCTGTACGGAGAAATCAGACATCCCATTGGTGGTATACAGTGCTTTTACTGCCTTGATTTGATAAGTCACTATTGTGCCATCAGCCATTCTTCCCACAGAACCCCAAGGTCCTGCCCGGATTCAGCACCAGGGTGAAAGAGACCCTAGCAAGCTGGGTGAGATGAACCCCAGGATCCCAGCTTTGCAGCTGCTTGTACCCAAAACAGTGTGCATGCTCTACATATACATTTGTGCACACTAGGTGCTTTGTTCTGTCGTCCCTGTAGAAGCTGACCTTGCAAAGGGCACGAGATCAGTCCTTGCAAACAGCCCGCCTCCCAATTCGTGAGTACATGGTGAAAACCATTAACACCAAGAACTACCACTCAGAGACACTTGCAATCAATCAAGGTGAGCGGCTGGGCAGTGTCCTGTCACTTGCCTGGGTTTTGTCGGGGGGGGGGGGGGGGGGGCTCTCGGCCGGGGCGCTTGCTGCCCCTGTTTTAATGGTCTTATGTGCTTTACTGCAGCAGCCCGTTCTCAGGGGAGCAGAGCTCACATCACTCTTACTTTGCACAAAGCAGTGAACAGTTAGCATGGGGCAATGTGGGAATGATGCTGTTGCTAGAATCCACACAAGGTCCTTGACATGGGAGAAGGGAAGAAGTTGTCAGGCCTATGTCAAGTTGAATCAAAGAAAGGCTTACAGCAGAAGGATGGGACTGCTTTGTGCTGTACAGCTTTGATAAAAACGTACTGTATTGGCTGTGCATCGCGACCACGTGAGGGCTGGTCACATTAATGGATGTGCCCTTGCTCTCTGCCCCTGCTGGCAGTTTGTGGCTTTGCAACATGAACCCCTGTCTGCCAGGAGCCGGTGAGAAGCTGAGGTCATGGGCCAGCTTTACTTCTGGCTGGAGGAGTTTGTCACTATTTCCTTCACTACAGGGCTGATGGGATGGCTGAGGGCTCTGCAGAGCACCAAGCCTAGCTCCTAGACAGCACAGTGTATCCAGAGGCACATCCTGATGTGGAGGCACAGCAGCCAAGAAGCCGTACAGTGGAACCACTGTAGATAAATGACATGAAAACCCACTATAGGGAGGGATACTGTCATCAGCAGCACAAACACAGCTTGGGAGATACAGGTTAGCTGAAAAGGTGGCTGGGGACAACTTGGAATAGGAGTTTTGCCTTGGCTGACACAGCTCTTGCTTTTCCTGGTCAGAACTTCCCAAAGTAATCTGTCAAAGTATGTATATCATCCACTCTCAGATGAGCTGCCTCAATCGTTTGTTCATCAGATGAAAGGGAATGTGAGCCCTATGCTAACCTTTCTGGCCATTAGTTATATTTTCCTGATGTTTTGTAGCCAGTGGGCTGTGTATGGGAGCTTGGCATTGATATCGGTATCACAGTCTTGTCCATCTCTCTGTTCTTGACAGTCTTTGATGTCTTATCAACTTACTATGAGACTCGAAGTTGGCCAGCAGCCTTGAGAGCTGGAGTTTCTTCTGGAAAAGGCTATGTGCTCGCAGATGCAGTGAATTAAGTAAAATTACATGGCAAAGCACAAGAAAGCTCTTTATTTTCTGATGTGAGGAGCTGTGACAGACAACGGAAGCAAACTCCAAATTTCAAGCAGAGACACCAGCATGAATGTGTATACAGAAACACAGCTCAGCTTAAATTTGGGATAAGGACCTTTCAAGAGTGATAAATTAAACCTTAGCAGGGTTTTGCTGGAAATGACTTCTCGCCTTAAAAACAAAACAAAAGCTGGTCGAGCCTTGGAATCAAGTGAAAACTGATGGGAATTCACTTTTGCTTTTTTTGCAGGTTTTTTGGGGGTATTTGTGTCTTTTACATTTACACTTGTTCTGGGACAGAGAGACAACTTTAAAGTATTTCTTTCATCTTGATTAAAAGGAAGTAGTGTGACATTGGAAGGGTGACAGAGTACAGAACACACTTGTAAAGAAAATCATCTTTCCCATCTAAAAGAACAGTGCTGTTCTGATTGGGGAACACAGGATGGGAAGTGATTCCCAGACAAATGAGATAACAGCTCCCAGAAGTACCATGTCCTGTCTTCCCTAAACCAGCTGAATTAAAGAGTTTATGAGCTGCTGAATCCCATAGCTAATTTTGTGCATTCTGCTTACAATATACAATAAAATGTTTACTCTTCCTGAACTCCGTTTGTATCCTCACAATTACCTGTGTATGGTGCCTTGAGAAGTTCACTAGCCCTTGTGTTCCTCCTGAAAGGTAGACATCTGGGATTTGACTGTGTTCTGCCTAAAGAGAAGTGATATATTTCAGGACCAAAGCAGGAAGCTTTTTGGTGTTTGTTCTGTATCTAACTGGGTATTTTTCCTCAGCTGTTGCTGCCAAAAAAAAGTCCAGGTCAGTGACTATGTCTAGTCACCACTGGAAGTACTTGAAGGGCTTCTGAGGTAAAGTTCTCTCTCATTTCCCTACCTCTCAACTCATTTGCCTCTCTCAACTGTCTTAATACCCATGAGACTGAAACACAGAATGTCAGCTACTGGTGGATATATTGAGTGTTGTTCCCAACATAAGCTGAATTTGTGTATGCTCGCATTGGTTGCAGGTGTGTGTTGCTTTACCATGTCACACAGGCTCTCCCTCTTCATATTCCATGTGTCCCTTGGCTGATCAGCTATTGGTTTGTGGTTAGATGGGTCACGGCAGTTCAGCTGACAGAGCAAAGTCTGCAAGTTGGCTTCATTGTAAGAGGCTTTAACTTACTAATTCAGACCCTTGAATTTGCTAGGCAGCAGCAAACAATTACCCAAACCAGCTGGCAGTGAAGAACTCCTCTGAAATCCTGCTTGGGATGAGCAATTTGCAGAGTGCTATCCTCCCCAGTGGCTGAAGACACCTTGGACGCCCTGTCCCTATGCAACCATTAACCAGCAGATTGCCTTTGGTTAGCTGCCTTGTTGCCTGCAGGGCACGCTGTGAGAATGGTGCCTGCCATGGGTTTGGTGTAGTGCTGCTAAGGGACTGCTGAACTGCTGGGGGTATTTGCTTGCCTGGCTGTTAGCTTCTCCCAGGTTAGGTAGGTCCTTTAGAGCTGTCACAGCACCCCAACCTTCCTTCAGACCAGCCTCTTCCCTCCTAGCTGCCTCTCTTGTCCTTAGTTAGGGCTCAGCTGAAAGGACTCAACCTTTCTTCCCCCACAGGCGTTAAAATACAAGGCAAAAGTGAGGCTGGCCTCCTTCAGCTCCTTCATGGCCTCCTTCATGGGACCATGGGCAAATACTGTCTATGTGTTGTCCAGGTGCTTGGGAAGGAGGGGTGTGTGTTGAGCTGACCAGCTCTCTTGTAGAGGCCCATCTGCTTGACTCATGTGGGGGGCCTCCGTTTGCCTCTCTGCTGCCTCACACAGACTTCTCCATCCTAAATAATTCAACTGCATGGGCTGACAGGCAGCAGTGCGAGACTTCTTGCCTGGTGCCTACATATCTCAAAGAACTGCAGCAACTCCCAAACAAAGCCCCAAGTTAAACACCAAAAGTCAAGTACCCGCCTCTGCCCTCTTTAGTGCTAGAAAGCCTCTCAGCACTGGAAGGCCTGCTGATTCACTAGAGATGCGCAGCTAGAAGACGTTTAAGGGCAAACAGCTCACATCTAGCTGGGGATATAGAACATTAGGGAAGAAGAGTTATTAATAAGAAGGCTGGGAAAAGACTTGCTTTCTCATAGGGAGGTAGGCATAATGGGTCATCTGTTCTCTAACAGCTATGAAGGCAGCGCTTCAGTGTTATGGATCACTTTTTCCTTTTTTAGAAGACAGGAATCCATAGATAGCTGAGGGAGGGTTAATTTGGGACTCTTTCAAGCATCAGCAGAAGGAAATTGCAGAGCTGGCTTCTATACAGAACCTTCAACAGGACAGGGATACGGCGTTGCACTGTAGCCTGGAACGACTCTCTTTTTCTTGCCTTGCAAGGAGAAGCAGTTAAATACAGAATAAATTCTTTCCAGAGGGGTTTTTGCTACAATTCTTGACATTTCCGTGACCGTGAGATGGTGGATAAAGCAGCCTGGGTCCTTTTGCGTCAGATCAGGGTTGGCGGGGGAGGGGGTTGACCTCACTCACATGGAGAGTCTGCCTGGTCTGCTATGCGCCTGGAGAGTCAGTAAGGCGTGAAAGGAAGGACTGGCCAGCTGCTAAGGGCTCCTGTCTTTCTCCACAGATGACAGGAGGAGGTTAGGACAACATACTGAGACTAGCTACCTGCAAGGTGTTCAGGATGTAAAGGACAAGCCCCAGGCAAGATACATGAGCTCGAGCCACTGAAGCTTGCATATTAGACTACGACTGTCTTTACAGCATTGGACAAAAAGCTAGGTTGGAGTGGGGCTGGGCCTTGCTCCATGACCACACTTGGACTGAGCTGGTCTTGGTGGGGGTGAGCAGTGGAGCATGGACAAATCATTCCACGCTCATTCTCTGAGATGTGGGACTAAACACCCCATATGGGAGAACCTGGTGATGGACAGCAGGAAATATGGCTGGGGTCCTCCCTGTCCAGTACATCTGTACACCACCAAGAAGCCTTGTCACAAAGAGAGAGGTGCGCTGAACTGCTGCATGAGACAAAACACAGCAGCTGTAAGGGCTGTGTGCTGGCAGGTGAGGAGCTTGGCACCCACATCCTTGCAGCCCTGCCCGTCAAGCAGCTGGTGAACAACCTGCACCAGCTGGTGGTAGATGCCCACCACACCTGTGAGCACGGCCCCAAGCTCACTCTGCCGCTGCATGCACAGCTGACAGTGTGTCACCTGGAAACAGGCCACTGTCAACTGAACCAGGTCATCAAATGTCACTCTTAATGCCCCCTGCAGCTCCTTAAGGGGTCGTTCTGTTTTCAGAAGCTCCTGGCAACTGGACAGCAGCTCCTGAGAGGCTGATTCAAGCGCACCCTTGCTCTCAGAGCTGTGCTCTGCACACCTGTCTTGCAGGTGGGTTCTTTGGTTGCCAGAGAGCTTTTCCACAACCTCCTGGAGCTCTGTGATGTAGGCTAGGAAGCAGGAGAAATCCACAGGGCTCATCCGTGCTTGGTCCTTCAACTTGGTCAGGGCTTGGATGTGAGGGTCCAGCCATGCCCTGTCTCTTGCAGTAGCAAGTGGGTAACTGTCCACAGGGGTACCAGGAAGACTGTGGATGGTGGATGGCGGGGTGGTGAGGGGCCCCGGGGACATGCTGTGCATAGGGATAGTGTTTTCATGTTCCCCCTCTTCATCAGGCCTGTGGAAGCAACTGACATAGGACAGCTGACAGCTGCACTTGTCCATCCCAAGCTGTGGTGGAAATGTGTTTGTGGTGGAAAGACCCGGGGATCTGGTCATAACGTGGCCAGGACGTGTCTGCTCATCCTTCTTGTAGTTAAAGCAAAGAAAGGAATGATTTGAAGCCCCATAGTGTCCTGTTCTTTTCCCCAGGGAGCCCAAAGGAACTGGGCCTGAGGGAAAGGAGAGCCCCAGAGATGGAATTAGGGGACAGTCTTTCTCGAGCACTGTAGCTTCCTCTCTGGGAAGAAGAGTCGCACTAGGTTGAGGCTGTTTGTAATATACATTTTCTGTATCTTTTCTGGGCTCCCCCTCATCTGGCCCCTGGTTGCTCACCAACTCTTTTTCAAAGGCTGGTAAAGCTGAGGGTGTTTGTGTCTCCTTTCTGACAGCATCAGCCCCAAGGCATCCACTGGTCATGTGAGCTGTTTCTTGGGAGTCCAAAAGCTCCAGTGGGTTGTCCAACCTCTCCGTAGATGGGTTGGGTGATGTGAGGTCTGTCCTGACCCCAAATGAGAGCCAGGAGAGGTGAGTTATAACCCCTGAAGTGCCACTGCAATCTGTTAACAGCTGGGTTACATTTGGAAAACCCACATGATTTTTACTGTGCACTTTCTGAAAGGCCTCCTCTCTTACTGCCTGTCTGGTTTTCACCTGAGACAAGCCAATGTCACTCTGCTTTCCAGCACAGTTGTCAAAATCACTTTTTTTTTCTTCACAGAGAGCCAGGACAAGCTCCTCACATGCTGCTTCTTTCCCAGCTGTAGGGAGCAGATCGAACTCCAAGGCCGCACCACAGGGAGATGTCATGCTGGTGCCACAGGTTAAAGGAGAAACTGTACATTCATTAGAAGGGCAGATCATGTCTTGGCTCTGAAATTTCACCTCATTGTTGACCTTGCACTGGGCTTCCATTATCTCAGCTGCTCCCTCCAGCACTGCTTGGGCAGGCTGGTTCCTACTGCTTACACAACTGTCCTCACTTTGCCACCCAGTTTTTAACTCAATGCTGGAATTTTTTTTGGTGCCTCTGCTTTGTTCCCTGGGAAGGTGTTCGGCTTCCTCCCACAACAGGAAAGCTGGATGTACAGCACTTGCAGGACTGAGGCCATTGTCCAAACATATAGCAATGTCTGAGCTCTCTTCCCCATTCTGGTCACCTTGCAGGTGAACAGCTGAAATGGAAGAAAAAAACAAGTCAGTCACTGATTTTGTTTCCATGGTGTCAGGCTCCATTTCCATCAAGTCAGCTGATGGGTTTTTGCTTCCAGTGTCTCTCTGGACATTTGTATCAGTGTCAGCTCCCACTTCTGTGTCCGTCTTGATGTTCTCTGAAGAACGTGCATCTGGAGGCTGAGTGAGGAATGATGGGTAGGGGGACCAACTGCAGCAGCTCTGCCGAGAGCCTGGCAAAGCCAATGGGAAAGTGACCTGGGAGGTGTAATCAGTTTTCAGGAAAGATCTCCTCTTCCTCAGGCTCTTAGCGTAAGTCAGCTCTTTCTCCATTCTGTGTTTCTCCCTTGCTGTCTGCCTTGACACCAGTTTTTCCCCCAAGCTGTAACACCTTGATTTCTTTAGGATGCAGGAGGCATTGTCTATATTGTCCGATGATGTAAGGCTACAGCCTGCTGGCAAGGACAGAACATGGGAGTCAGAAGTGGCTCCAAGCAACAGAACATACACGCATCTGTGCACATGGCCAAAAGATCTTAACACAAGTCTTACAATTACAGATACAAATGTTTGGTATCAGAGACTGGCTCCCAACTGCCAAAGGAAGGTGTCTTTTATGTTATGACCATGCAGGTACTTACAACCAGCTATGCCGAAAAAAAGGTAAGAGTCTGGACCTGTGACTACAAAGGCTGAGGTTCAGTATTATGAAGAGTATTACACTCTCTCTCCTTGCTTGAACAGCTTACTGGAGTCACTTCTTCTGACTATAGATACTAATAACACCTTTTTCAAATTATAGTTGTGGCAAGCTACAGAAAGCACTGGCCAACAGTTGCAGATTTCTTAACCTTGAATGGAAACATTAATAGAAATTCCTAGCCTGGATATTTAGGCAATAAAATACCCAGAGATTACAATATTGTACTTGAGCATTGCATTGTTCCTGTATGTGAACTCAGAAGCTGAAATTGTCTAAGTACACAAACTAGATTCTTAAGAAGTTCAGTTAAAGTTGAAAGAGCTGGTTATTTCAGAAGCAAGCATCCTCTCATTTCTGAGAAAAAAATATCTACCCGAGAGCCATTCAGCCACAGGACTTCTTGACCCAACTAAATAATATGCCCTGACCCCCAAAATATTTTTAGTGTCAGTTGCGTTGTGCACTGAGCTGTAAAACAGCTTCCAGCTCTTGAGTTAAGGTAGTGCCTGAAAGCAGAAATATTTTCCATAAAACTCCAGGTCTGTGTAAGGGCACAGATTTTTTCCCTATGTTCTATTTCTGGGAGTCACCACCCCTTTCATCACCAAAAATTCAGTGTACATAGCAAGTTGCATAGAACTTGCTCATGTGGCATGATGGCTTCAACACTAGGCAGACCCATACATCAGTATTCCGGAATTCCTGCAGAAACCTAGGCACTTTCCGGAATGCTAAACTCATTTGAAAATTGAATTTTTCTGGGATCAGTGCTTGAATGCTATGGAAAAACGTCTCTGCAAAACTGCAGCTCTGACTCCTACTGCACATGCACTGCCAGCTTTGCAAGGCACCTGCTGACGGCTGACTTGCAGAGAAGGTGCGTTTAAAGGTCCTTCAAAAATCTACGAAAATCTGAAAGAGGAGATGGTCCCTCCTGTATGATTGACATAGTAAATAAGCACAGCCCTAGCACAGTAAGCGGAGGGAAGGCAAGGACACGAGATCACCTGCAGGGGGTCCATGAGGGTTTACCTGCCAGAGCATCCGGGGGGCTGAGTCTGTCTGCTGCGTCGTAGAACTCATCCTCAGAGCTGGTGTCTCCAAAGCCTGGGGGAGGGTCCAGAATGAGATCGCTCACCTCTACCTTTTGGTCTGATCTGCGGGGTACACCCTCCTGGGCAGACACATCTTTCCAAGAACTTTTTCCAGGGCTGTGATTGATGTTCCTCTCCACACTGCCAGCAGGGGATATGCTGTAGCAAAGGCTGTAATAGCCCATGGCATTTCTCTCAGACAGCTTGGTCTCCAGCACAGATGCACCCGTGTCCTCTTCTCTCTGATCAGAGTGACTGTGTTGAGATGCAGGTTCTGCTGCTTGTGGTACCTGCAAGAAACAGAAGAAATCTCTGGCTTCTGTCCTGCTGGAGCCCCTTGCAGCACCAATGGGGAAGAAGCTCTTGTCTGAGCTGTTCATCTCTTGCACTGTTGGCATGCAGAAGTGGAAAAACTCTGGCCTAGAAGAAGAGCAAGCTTCCAACTCGTCTTCCTCCAGCGCATCCATAGAGTCACTTGAGCCACTTGTCTTACACCCTTGGCTCTCAGTGTTGGCTGAATCTGAAGCTTCTGATGTGCTGTCTGTTGCATTGTCAGACCTGTTGCATTGTTCACCCCCTCCAGCTTGGGACTTTATGCTGTCCTGCTCCAGGCTGTGGAGGTCTTCCAGCTCCTTCTCCTCGCACACAGGATGGGCACTGCCATATGGTGCAGGAGTGTCCAGGCAATGCTCTGAGGAGGAATCTAGCTCCCAGGAGTCTTCAGAGTCACTGCAGGTTCTAGATTCATATCCTGAAATTTAAACACATCTTTGAGCCTGTACTTAGCAGAGCAAGGAGAAATAGCTAGACAAGGGTCTGAACTTGGCTGTAGAGCAGAAACTCAAGGCTCAGGGAGCTCTGCCCTCACTATTGCTCCACAGTAATCAAGGTGAAGATACAGTCTGAAGTGCAGGACCATAACCTGTGAGCTGGGGCTTCATCCTTCCTTCTTGCTTTGTCTAGTTTTACTGCATAGTACACACACGCATTTTGGAGAGAGTGTCTCTCATGTCCTTCATTACAGCATCTGAGAGAAGAAAGCCTAGGCCCAAAGCCTCTCAGGAGCTGAGTGCTGGAAGAGAATTGCATTGTTGTCTCACAGGCAGCCCCTAAATCTCTGTGCTCGCCTGATTTTGTACCTAGTCTGCGTGTTGGTAGCACCCAACACCTCCAGTTCTCCTGTGCATATCACCAGCGATCAGCTCAGCGGTCTCAGCAAGAAGGCCTACCTCCCTGAGATCCCTCTAGGGCCACTGCACAGAGACAGACTGACATAGAACGAAGCACATCTTCCTAAGCTGTTAACAGAGGGAGCTTAAGAAAAACAGCCAGATAACTTGTCTAAATCTCAGTCTGCAGCATCTGTTAGGCTGGAGTTATCCTGACAACTGACAGTGGTATCACACAAAACAGATACCACTGTCTTCTGGCTGGGAGAAGCCAGGAGAAGGGAGGTAGTTCACGAAGCTGGAAACAGAGCACAAGGACTCATTTACTGGTTTGCAGTTTCAATGATAGACACAGCCTCAATTTCTCGGGAAGAGCAGACAAACCATGCTGGCCTCCCTGTTGCTGCCCAACATGTTTGGGACTGATGGAAATCTGGTAGGGCTCACACCAAAGCTGACAGTCTCAACAGTGAGCAGCCATCACTGCAACCCCAGGGCTACTCTTCTAGCATAAGGAGAGTATTCCCAGGGAATAGCATCTCTGCTACTAGAGAAGCCACTGACTTGCTCCCTACCCTTTGTCAAAAAGATGGCTGTTTTTTTTTACCTTCTTCAGCTGAGATACGGTGCAGTTGCTGTTTTTTCTCCCCCCAAGTAAATATGGAGACACTTGCATCCACAAACAGCCTATAATAGCCATTGATGAGGCAGACAAGATCTTTTGCACTGTTTGATTCCAACAGCAGAGTCAGCAGCTTTTGGTGGGGGGAGGGGAGGAGGAAGAAAGAAAACCACAACAAAGTTAAAACAGACAAACACTGCTTGTGCTGCAATCTGCAGGAGTGTGCTGTACACTAAGAAGACGTTCCCTGTCTCCCACACTGCCCTCATTGCAGAGCGCTCTGTTTATGCATGAGACAGAGAGAAAGAATAGATTTTTTTTTTGTTGTTGCATTTTGTGTTTTGAAATGCCTGGTTGATGAAGGACAGCAGGAGGAAACACTTTTCTTCTATCATTTTGTGTTCTTCCTATTAGCTTTCCCTTCTCAGTCGGCTCTAAGTCTTTACCATTAAGGACACTGTTAGCTGAAGTGTCAGATCTTGAAAAAAGAGTGGTGAGAATGACTCCCTCTTGTTCTCTGGCCTTGACACAGTCACCCTCTGGCCATCACGAAACCACCATTACCTTAAGATCCTGTAAGTAGATTTTCACCATGCTCACTTTCTCAGACTCTTCCATAAGCTCCAGCCTGCTGATGTTTGCAAACTCTGCCAGACTTGTTATGATGTTGAGCTTATTATTGATAATCTGGCTCACCCCATACTTGGCCCCAACCAGCAAGGCAACGTATGATTCTCTGTCCTGTAGCTGTAGGGAGAGAGGTTAAATCCAACATCAGCTGAAATCTAAGCAGGAACGCGTTCACATCTGTTGCACTGGAACTCCTCAGCCATCTGCTATTGTGTGGTATCTTTTAACACAGGACTCCTGCTACAATTGAACTGTAACCACCTGCAAAGGAGAGCCCGTCATTTCTTACAGGGTGCCTCCAAGACACGTGGCCCAAGGAGGTGCAGCAGTCATCTAACAGATGCAAATAGGTGGTTAGCAGCGTGTTGCTATGGGAAGTGTCACCTGTTGGGTTGCGCCAGATGAACCTGGCAAGACCTACTGGAACAGGTAAGAGACTGCAGGGAGGCAGACTGAAGCAGCCTGCAGAAAAGGCTAAGATCAAGAGAAGTCTAATGTGTCCCATTCAACCCAAAACCAACCCTGAGGTACGTGCCAGGGCTGTAACCCACCTCAGGACTTAAAGGAACTGGCACTTTGTGCACTTTGACAGCCAGACACTCTGTCAGAGATGAGTGCAGGTCTACAGAAAATTGCAACAAAGCCTGCAGTTCGTTTCTTTTCAGCAAAATTCACTGATAGGCTTTTTCAGCTGGCCTCTTTCCTCCCAATATGTACTGCTTTCTTCTGGCCCTAAAAATGGTCGGTGATGGTAGATGTAGCGTGACCACCACAGAGCACAGCAGACACAGAAGAAACAGGACTTGGACGGAAGCACCTACGAGGCACTGTAGGATAATTCAGTCAGCCTGTTTTGGCTCTCTGCATTTTTTTAATTTTCTTTTCTTTTTTGTAAGAAATGTCAACATTTTCTGTTAGGATCAGACATTTAAAAAATAAACTAACTTAACTCCCACATAGTTTAGCAGAAAATATTTCTTTTTCCACACAAGTATAAACATAGGCATTATTATAACACATCAGTCAGGCCCTTCGCTGATATAGTCCAGCTGCACTGCTCAGCTCTTTGTACAAAGCAGCCTGTGATCCCTAGTTTAGCAGGTGATCCAAGTGGTGATGGGTAGGAAACCAAGAGACCCTCCTGTGAAAAGAGCAGCATTCTTTTTTTAACAAAGAAAGAGGTTTAATCTTGGCCAATATCTTTTCTTAATGTTTTTTAAAACATCATGAGATCTCTGAAGTCCTTTAAAACATACAAAAAATGGACAGAGCTCACCTGAGGATCAAGATCTACATATTTTAATTAGAGAAATAACACATAATTATTGAGTAAACTGGTACGTTATTGACTTTAATGGAGCTATGCAAAATTAACTTAGCAGGGAGCCTGATCGATATTTATAATGATGTCTCAAGATGAAATACCAGTAGTACGACTGGAGCTTGCTGAAACAGCATCAGCAGGGCTAATGTGACATTTTCTACAAGCAAAGACAGCAAAGACAGGAGAGTTGACACAGTAAGAATTTGCTACTTTTACATCAACAACCAGCTCAGAAAAATATTTAGATATTTCTGCTTTAGATAGGGTGTGCTTTGGTAAACAGATGATCTTATCCACAGGTGAAGAAAAAGTGTTAAAATTGCTTCTATAGCCCAGTCTTTCCAGTTACAGTCCAAGTACAGTGCTGTGAGAGATACACAGGGCAGGTAATAAGACAGCATACCAAAACTGATTTAGACAGAAAAAGAGCACTCATACCATGAGGGTGGCATTAAAGATCTTCCCATTGTACATCTTCAGGTCTCCCAGTATCTGTAGGTAGCTCAGGCGCACTTGGACTGCTGCAAGCATATGCTTAGTTTTGCAAAAGAAGAAATATTGTTTAGAAACATCACATATAAATAGAGTTTGCCAGGTATCCTGTAGGCTAGAAGATTCAGGAAAGCTTTTTTTTCCCCCATACAGGACTTGGTATCTGGTTTGATTCAGATACGCAATTGATCTGTATAGGACTGTCCCGCATTGCGGCATTTACTGTCTGGCAGCCTCACCAGCAAACTGCAGCAGCACACAGTACACAAAGAGATTAGGGTGTGTGGGCTGCAGAAAAGGTTGGAAGAGAAAAAGATACGGAAAAACAAATGGTCATATAGAGATGAAACCCACACAGGAAAGAACCCCCCTCTCTGACCCTGAAACATGCTGCCGGCAGCAAGGGAGGAACCGCAAAGTTATACCATACACAATACCTTCTGCCGAGGATCCAGCAGGACCTGGTTCCGCTTCATGTGGTAGCTGATAGCTTTCTTAATATCTTTGCCCCTCATGTTTCGGAGCAAAGTTGGTGAGATGAAATTTTCAATTCCCCAGTCCTTCCTGCCAGAAAGACAAGGAAGGGAGCAAAGGGAATTCCAGCTGTGCTGCCTCACAGTGATGACAGAACTTGAGAAGGAAAGTCTGTCAGGGACAGGGAAGGACAGAGACATCACCTCTGGCTCAGGAAATACTGAGTGCCAGGGTGTTGTGGGATCATTCTGAAGAATCATGCAACATGACTGCCTTGCTCAAGTTCTGTTCTCTCTGCATCTGCACCTGACTAGGAGATGGGTTTGGAGGAACGTGTGGTCTCATCCAGAATGCCTGTTTTTACGTGCTGATACAGAAGACAACCTCAGCCAGCCTCAGACACGGTCCTGTCTGTCCTTACCACCCAGAGAGTGAAAACTCCATCTTTACATTCACTTCGCTGACCAGATTATTACATTTTAATGTATCTGCATTCCTGGACCCAAAAATATGGGCCAACTCTTCTGCTGAAGAATTTATTCAGCCCAAGCATTAACTACCTACAAACTAAGAATGCTGCAGAGTTGTCTGTTGTTACTTCTCACTCTCCACGAACTGCATGTGGTTGGGCACGTCTGGCTGTAAACAATGAATCAGTGATGCTGCATGGGCTGGCTGAGGCTCTGCAGTGCAGTTACATCAGCACTACAGCACAAATGCCTGTTGCTTAATGACTGGCCCATGACAAGTTCTCAAACCAGGATTGCTCCTTAGGGCAAGTGTGATCTAACAGTACTGTCATGCAGTTCAATGGATCTGCTGCATGTGAAAGCATTTCCTGTTTTTTTTCCAGATCTCATTACTTCACAGGTCCTATCAACTATACTGAAATTATATTTCTGAGATAATGCTGGGGGATGAAGAAACGTAAAGTGCTGGATACGCAAAGTTGATGATTAATCTCTCTCAGAACTACAGCATGCAAGTCTCTGTATTCTGGCAGGAACAGCCTGGATAAGCATAACTATACAAGACGTTGTGGCTCTTGCTAGTTGATGTCTCTGCTGTAGCTACACACCAGAACCTTCCTCTGCTTATGCAAACGCTTAGATGTTATAGTGTCCATGTTATCCAAGCAGCTCAGAAGGAATTTTAAAGACAGGGAGGCTCACGCAGCTGCCTCATCCTAAAAGGACTATCATGCCTAAGAGACCGTAATCTCTTTGGGTCAGAGACAGTCTCCTATCCTGTGTTAGGGACACTGGGAAAAGTGCAGAGCAGATGCCATTTTTGGTTGGCTCTTTGTTTTGCCTGGTCTACTCACAACATAATACAGAAATTTTGACACCTACTCAATGTATTTCAAGGACACTTTCTGTGGTTGAGCACAAGCATAGATCCTTTCCTGTATGTGCAGAGCAGCCAGACGTAATGCCACGCTGCATTTCATTTCCACAGCAAACCTTTCTTGAAGCACATCACTGCAGCTCTGGAAGAGACAGAACTGAGTTAGCATGAAGATGGGAGCTCAAAGAGAAGTCAAGATAAGACCTCTGATATGACTATCACTGCTACCCAGCTCATTTCCATCTCATTGAAATAATAATCATGCCATTAACAAGCGAAGCATGCAAATTGGTTTGATTAAGAATTTAATGTAAGTTAAACCCACATCACCTATTTTTAAATGCTCAGCGTTTTACATTCATTTAACAAAACTGGCCTAAATTATGCTTTGGTTTAAAGCAGACATGAGGACTTGGGTAAGAAGAGTTCCTGAACTGAATGCCTCAATGTCACCTGCAGATAGAGATACTCAAAGGCAACTGGGTCTTCCTGCAGGAGGTCTAAGGGATCCTTCGGGATGAAGCAAACTCTGAAGAGGCACCGGTAGTCATGGGGTTCTCTTTTCTGGACCACCTGCAATGGACAAACTCAAACAGCATCATATCATAGCAACTGCTGAAATCCCCTCCTTCACAAATGCACACTGAGCCTCAGGCTCTTAAGAAATCACAGACTATTTAACGCCGCTGATATCTGGGATGGTTGCACATTAGCTATTGTCTTTAGCAAACACAAGGGGACATTGCTCATGCTTCTAGTTCTTTCTTTGATTCTTCTGTTTTTTTGTTTTCTCCCTGTGATGGAGTGGAAGTCCTTTGGCTGCCAAACTTCATTAAATATCCATTGAGCTGATGTACTTGTAGTATAACCACAACAGAGGCTTCAAAGCTATACAATAATGACAGAGGAAAGGGCAAGCCCCTCTGATTTTAACTTCAGCCAGAAGATGCAAGTGGGCTATTTTGGGCTGCTGTATCATCATCATAATATCAATATAATGTTCAGGCCACTACACTATACTTTTAGCATATTTTAGGCAAAGTTGGAACAGGTTCATCAGCAGAAACTAAAAAAAAAAAAAAAAAAATTCTCAGACACTCATGCTCAGGGGTTGGATGGAGGGTGTTAACGACAGAACCTCTGTGCATCAGTGCAGATCACCACCCAACAACGTAGTCAAGAGCATGGAGATGAGACCCACAGTTAGGCTCATTGTCACTAATTAGATTAGCCCAGAATTAGTAACAGAGCAACTATGGTACAAACAAAAAGTTAAATTTGAGCAAGTTTTTCAAGCGGTACACTAATTTTTTTTTAAAAACTGTCTCAAAGGCTCCTCTGTACATGAACCTATTTAACAGCTGGCACAAAGCATGCTGATCTCCGATTGCACTACTCTGTTCAAGCAATACCAGCTTGTGGGTATTGCTCTGTGGTCTCTCTAAACTGAGTGCGGCATTTTTGAAAGCATTATTTCTCAGTGAGCTCTGGTTAATGCAGTTTTAATATATATGACAGACACAGAGAAGAGAACAGCACCTCTGGAGAAGAATTGCCAGAGGATTCACTACTTCTAACACTGTCCTCTGCAGGTAGTCAACAGCTCTCCCTCCTTCCTCACAGCACATTAAGCCAAGCCCTCTTCCTCTCGTACCTCTCATGATATCTGCAGAGCTGGGCTCTCTCTATAACTTGTTGAAGCAGGAGGGGCACCAGGCCAACTGATCCTGTGACCCCTTGCATGAGTGCAGCTGCATTAGAGGTGCTCTCCTCACCTGCTCGATGAGCTCATCGTCATGCAGCAGGTAAATCTTAGCAATGTTGTACTGCTCCTCCAAGGCTAGGGCAAAGTGTGCTATGCTCTGGATGGAGAGCTTCTCCTTCAAGGTGAGAACAATGTCCTGGGAAGGCAAGACATATAGACATTTAAATACAATTTAAACACAGTTGCTGAGCCTTGCTAGGACGCTGTATGAATCCGGATGCTAACAAAGCTACCTTTGATTCCAGCCTACCATTGGCAGTTGTGTGGGACAGCACTGAGAAGGCAAAAGCTGAACCCAACAGGCTTCTGCAACAGAGTAGTGACATTTTTAGTGCTGTCTCACAGGAAATCAATGCCTACCTAATTGTACTTTGTCTCTTCACTGACAGATTTTGAACCCACGGACCTAGACAGACGATAGAGGTCTCATGCTTAGACAAAGCCTACAAGCTTATCAGAACAAGAGATATGAGGGATGCCAATCTCTTTGTGATGTCAAACATAAGCTTGGCAGTTAGCTGTTCTTCTAGCCCAGCAGGATGTCCAACCAGCAAATGCACATGCCAGCTAGTCAGTCAGCATACAGGTAGCTCAGAAACACCCACGTATGCTGACTATAGCCAGTGGGTAAGTAAGGGACAAAGGAGGGAGCTGAGACAACTGTGGGGGAAGCTTGGGAAGTGTAGATGAAGGGAAGACAGCATATTTTTTTGGTAGGTCAAGAGGACTAGGGAGAGAAATTGGGGCTTGTTGTAATAAGGCTGGAGTAAGATGCAAAGCTTCAAGATACAGCAGGCATCAAATCCTTTTCCTAGAGTTGCATTGCCCTAGGCTGCTTCATGTTGAAGGCTTTTGCCTCACAGGTTTTAATTTTAGTTTATAGTTTTTAGTGGTGTTGGGCGTTTTCTGTCACCCTCAGCCCAAATGTTTACCCTTAATCATCCTACCTTTCTAGAAATCTAAGATACTAGTCAAAGAAACTACAAAGAACTGGGGAAAAACAATCCTTCCCCCACCATGAAAAATACGAAGAATTTGAGAGCACAGTTGTCAGCAAAAGTCTTTCCAAACTTGATGAGGTGTTCAGCTGTATGGAGAAGTCTACTGGAATATTACATATTATGGAAATAATTATTTGGGTTTTTTGTTGGTAAACAGAAAACATTACACAGGGCTTGACAGAGCACAAATTAAAATAGAACTCCTTTGATTCACTCAGACCTCATGGGATGAGCATAGATGTTTGTGAAAAGGCTCATTTCAATTTTAAGCAGGGACCTTTCAAATAAGAGAAACTTTTGAAAACACCTATTTCAAAAAAGCATTTACCTGTTTGAATGTATGAATTGAACTGGTGAAAGTTTCACTCAACTCCAGTAAGAAAAATTTGTTCCAGGATAGAGGTGAGTAACTCAAGTCAATCATGAGGATCTAATCCATCTTTTAGCAATTAATCCCTTGCAAACGGACATTCAAATATCACTTCTCAATTCTTCTCTACCGCCTCTTTCCTTTATTTTATTATTATATTTTCCTCTGAGCAGCAACTGATTCTCACAAGATTTGCAGGGACTTATTTGCATGAGAGACCATTATAGCTCTGTGAAATTTGGATTAATTGGACAATAGGCCCTCTTTTTTGAGGAAAGTTATCAATGGATTATAAATAAGATCCCCTTGTTTTGCCTCCTTAATGTTATTTCCGTCTAATACTCCAGAAAGTCTGCCCATCACTTTCTAGGAAGAAAAGAGAACCAAAGCAATGCTGCCACTGCAGTAAGAGCAAAGAAAATCCAGCTCACTGAGTAGTGGCCAGCAATGCAATCAGCACCAGCTGGCTAACCTGTAACCAAGACTTTGTAAGTTCTGCTGCTTGTACAGCTTTGCAACTGGGTTGAATAGAGGTGGTAGGAACACAAACAGATAACCAGTCATCATTACCTTCACAGTAGTGCTCCTCTCAAACCTGAAAGCCTTCGTCTGCCCATTTTCCAAGTACACCTTGAGAACGTTTGGCATACAAAGAAGAGAATTCCCCTGTGCAACAAAAGCAACAGCCTTAATTAATCCCCAGACCTATGAGGCCTCTGGGAGCCAGGCTGCTCCACCTGACACAGCACATCCTGATATAATTACTAATCTTTCTCTGCTGTTACAAATCTCACCTAGGGCCCCTAGCTTTATTCCCTGGTTATGCTCCTGCTGTGGAACAAGGGGAAAAGACCATAACAAATTCCTTTCCAATAAAACACCTATTGCCAGGGCAATAAGTGTACACGGCCCACTGTCCAATTCCCACATGGCATGATATCAAAAGCTGAGAGCCATCATCCCTGCTCACTACCGTAAGAGCAGTGAAGGCTGCCAGAAAAGATATGTTTCCATTGTCAGGCACCGGACAATACTAACCTTCACACTGACACTTTCCCACTAGCTGTGCCTTCACTCAAGAGTTATGCAAGCCCTTCACGCTACCATGAATAGACCTTGCACACCAAGGGAAGGTGTAGGATCGATCTGCGTATGGAGTGGTACTTTTCTTGAGCATCCCCTTAAGAACTGTGGATCTTGTGAACAACATATGGTGTTACCAGAGTTTCTTGAGATATGTCTCAAAAGCATTAGGCAAGGCAACGACCACGATAGTGAAAGTACCTTCCTTTGGTGCTCTCAGGAGAATCTGGGAACTTGGCCTCTCTCCTTCTGTGGGTGCCTAAAACTACACCCTTGACCCCACCATCTTCTCCCTTTAGTAAAGACTGTTTCTGCCTTTTCTCGTTTTCAGCCTTGTTCTTACTGCTGTTCAGTGCTGAGATGGTGTTTACTCCTCCTCTACCCTGAAACTTGTCATTCAGGTCTCCCTTTACTCTTCCTGAACCAGCACATTATTTCTTCCACTTTCATGACAGTGTCAAGGCTGAGAAGGATATTTCTGTGATGATTTAGCCTATGCTTCATCGGCTGTGAAACACCTTAAAAATCTCATGGCCTTGGTCTCTCTTGATGGAGACCCCACAAGCCCTGGAAGTGCTACAACAGAGAACATAAAACACTTGTGTCTTCTGCCTTTTCCCCCTTTTCCCTCCCCTCCCAATGAACCATCATTGTCACTATTCTTGAGCCCAAGCCCTACTTCCTCTAGGCTAAGTAGCCCAAACAGATCATGTCTTTGACAAGCTTTGGGTCCTCCGTCAACTACAGAGAAATGGTGCTTGTTTACACCTATGGCATATCTCCTTTGGTACCTCCAGCAGGTTATTATATGAATATGGCTTTGCTGGTTTGTTCAGCCAGCGCATAGCAGGACTTGAAATCTATACAGAAATGTTCATAGATAAAAGGAAGTATCACAGTTTTCCTGGTCAGATCAAATTGACAGCCGGTTCATCCAGGTGAGATTTCTGTCATTTGGAGAAGGTGCTGACAGATGATTATGAATTAAAATTTGGTAAGCTTCTGATATGGCTTAAGCACCTGAACTCCTCCAGTTTTGTCTGATGAAAGGCTGATTCACACCAAGTTAGAGCCAGATCCACAGCTTCTAATAGTACGCTGTTGATGCTGACCTGACGATCCTGAGGGGATGCGTCTCCTGCATATCATTCAACTGTATGGAAATAAACCAAGTTTGCACCAGAAAATGGAGGCTTGATAGCATTTGGGCTCATCAACAATTTATGCTCCCAAATTGGAGTTTCAGATTTCATCTGCAGAAGGCAGCTTCTTGGCTCCTTCCAAAGGCCACAGAGCTCATTTAGCATTGCTCCATTAAGATGACAAGAGTTGTACATTTACTGAAACAGGATACTCTGCAGTCCTCAGTGCCATAACATCCACTTTGTCTCCCTTAATGCATCAATCTTCTACAGAGAAGGGAAGAGCAGTTCTGAAACACACATGCAGAGTAGCTGCTGTCTGTGGTGAATAATACTTTTCCAGAAAGAAGAAATAAATATACAACAAACATGCTTACTCTTCTTTTTGTACTTAGATTTTACTGTACAAATCAGGGGTTGTATCCAGCTGGTGTAAAGGGAGGTGACACGTGTGGGATCTAAGCACCTCCCTGGATTTCTCTTACCTCTGTGCTCTCACTGTGTGAACATGAAACTGTATGTTGACTATGTTCCTCCTCTGCACTTGCAAGGGGATGATAACCCGGCTCAGCAGAATATTGATAGAGGCCCTGTAGGAAATGCAGAGTACGACCTTCCATCTTCCACTCCATCTTCCATCTTTCGTTCTCAGCGATCCAGCTGCTGGAGCTGTCAAAACTTACCTCGTACCCCATAGAATGGCACAAATTTGAGACCTCCATGCACTAGCAGAGTTGTGTCCTTCACAGTTTCCTCTGCAACAGCAGTGCCCAACCTGTGGCTGAAACAGCTCCATGGGAACTCCCAAGCAGAGACCAGCGTGAACCCTCAACTACAAGAAGAACAGAAACTGCTGGCATCTTTCGGTCTTCAGGGCTGGCTATATCCCAAGACCAGGCTTGCCCAAGGCCTCTCACAGTCATCCCTGCTCATGAACCACCTCCAGCGTGCTCCCTTCCTTCTATATTCCTTATCTGTATGAGATCTGTGGCCTGTGTCTCATGTCTTTCAGTCATATGAAGGGTCCAGCATGTGGCTTCTATGCCAGGAAGGGTGGCCCAGCTACAGTAGTGTTCACCTAGGACTGCAGCCCTTTCATTAACATCAGCAGGATCTGAACACAGTCGAAGATAGAGCAGAGCCTTGCAGCAGTCCTAGGACATCTGGCAACAGCTGGCAGTCTTGGAGGTATGGGGGAGGGAGGAAAGGATCCTAGTGTCTAGAACTGTGCCTGAAGTGACACCTAATCCTCTCCTTCTCTTGAGTGAGGGCCCAAAAAGGAGGAGGGATTCTGACATGCCTAGAGTCAGGCACAGATGTCAAAGCACTTGCACTATGCCTGTCTAATAAGCTGAAGCCATCCCTGGCATCTCCAGCTGCACCTCTGCTTTGGTGCAGGGTGAGAAGAGGAGGGCAATCAAATGCGTCCCGTGGAGGAACAAACTGCCTGAGCTGGGTCACGAAAGCTCAGTACAGCCAGAGATGGGAGAGAAGAGAGCCTAGAAGAGAAGAAGGAAAGGGCCTAGTGACACACATTACAAAGCACAAAGAAGCAGAATTTGGTCCGACCCCAACTACTGAACCGCACTTACGAGTGGGGGATGAGGCAGGGGGAGTTTGGGCACTGAACTTCTTTATCCAGAAGAGGAAAAGAGAAAATTGATTAAAGAAAGACTCCCAGGTTATCCTAGTTCCTCCGAACCACACTGAACTTCTCAGTAAGTTACATAAATAGAAAAAGAAAATGTTTAAGAGCTTCTCCCACTTAAGAATAAGTGTCCTCTCTGCTTGTACTTTTCTGCCACAGGCATATCCACATCTACACAGATCATTCATTATCAGTACTAGAAACTCTGCGACAAATTTGCAGTGAGCCATGCTCTTGTTGTTTCACACTAGGACAGGTCAACTCAGGCTACAGATGGTCTACTATGGAGGCAGCACTGCACAGTCTTCTGCAAGGATATGAAACGCAATGAGGCAGCAAGTGACCCTATCATCTATCAAACCTCTTGTGTCAAATTTAACAGCAAAGGCAAATGACCACTACCAAACTACCTGAACATAACATTGCCCAAGGCCAGGAGGAGACGCCTCAACTACTTTGGCATCAAGAAAACTGTCACGTACAGCAGGATTCAGCTCTTTTATCTTTAGGGTTAGGATCTGTTGTGCAGAAACTTCCATCTAGGTTTACTATGAAGAGATTAGCACCTCAAGAGATGACTCTTCCGTCCCATGACAGCAGTAGAACAGGTATGTAATGCTAGCATGAAGTTTACATGATGAAAAGGACATAAACCATACATGGAGGTATTTTTCATTAGTCCAAGGAAATAAATCAAAGACAAAACCCTGTGGTAGGGAATAAGACCTCTGGAGATGCCAGTGCTTCCTCACGGATCACAAACGAAACCTAGGAAACAAGTTGGGACAAGATGCCGCGATACATACACAGGATATGCTAACACAGTGAGGGTGTCACTATTCTGTAGGTCCCAGCCATCCTAACCCAGCCTGGGGTCTGTCCAAAGGTGTGACCTACTTCTCCCAGAGATGTGTTCCCCAAAGTTCCCAGCAGCAACCATGCCTCACTGACCTGTGAGTGTCCATTCACCAGCACCTCCTCTGCGAACCGAACTTTCACAGGATTTGTTTTTAGCCTTGCCCTCTTCTCTGCAGTGAGAAATGATGACTTAGGCCCACCCTGAAAAAATAACAGTAGGCCATTGGCAGCTCAGTCTGCTACAGCTATGTGTGAGGCAAAGGCCCGTGATACAGGCAGAATGTGATCACAGCCCATGCCAAAGCTGCTCACACCACACTGGCTCATGCTTACAGGAACAGATGATGTTAGAGTCTCTTATTTCCCTGGGAAATCCAGGTCTGCAACAGGTTCTACGATCTATCTGGGCAGTTGCTCTTTTCTGAACCCAAACCCAGGTGTCCAATAAAAGGACACAGGTATAACAAACGTTGTGCACATTCCTCATTTCACTGCATGTTAACCAGCTGCTGCATCTGGGCATCTTCCCAACTCCTACAACGAAACTAGGATCTTACAGAAAGACTCACTGTTAAATCACCAATGGCTTCCTTGTAGTGGGACTATACCTCATAACCAATGTATGCAGACTGCCTGGAAGCCATAGACCAGAAAACCTTCATCCAATGTACTACATGAACACAGCAGTGTCTGCCACCCTTTCAAGCCCCGCAGGCATTTCTAGAGCATACTCTCACCTTACACACATTTAAGAAAGTTTTTGGAAGGCAAAAAAAACCAGCCTGACTTTGTAGTACTGTTGTTACATTAACCATACCTTTGCCATTGGGGGAATCTACCAAGCTCACAGAGCACCACATGAGCCTAGAAACCACGGAGTTCTTGTGCCGAACTGGCCTCTTGTAAAGCATGATATTGACTAAGAAGCAGCCACTGGGGAAAACACAGGCAGTATCTCTCAGTATCCTCAGAAAAGATTTTCAGGTATAGCAATTCCTGCACTCTTCCAGAGGCTCAAATGCCCCTCAACCTGTCACAGAATCATCTTGCTCCAAGGTAAGCATTTCGAAAGCATGAGGGAAGAGAGGCAGGCATGAGTTCCCAGCTGTCAAGCCATTCTGGAATCTGCTGGGTTCTACAGATCACTATGTTCCTAAGGCTGTCCATGAGGTGGGCCAAGGCCTGGGACAAACTTTCTAGAGTGGCCAGAGCAGCCTTGGCAGAGGGTTTGATATCTATCAACGGGAGGCGTTACCTCTCACTGCTGCCTTCAGAATAGGGCAAGAGCCAAAGACCCAGACCCAAGATCAGCCTTGGCTGTATTTGGAGGTGTCCTTAAAGTGACCTGCAAAGGAAAAAACAAAAATGGGTTTGTGCCCCACTTGCCTCTCAACAATGTATGAAGGCCTGTGAAGGGTTTTCCAAATCCCTTTCTCTCTGACAACCTGTTACTTTTTTACCATTTGGCTGGCATTCAGTTCTTGTCTACTTCATTTCTTCCTTGATGTCCAGAGCCAGACCAAGCGCTGTGGCAAGGTTGACACCGGGTATACTACACCAGAGAGGTCAGATTAGTAGAGAAGGGAAGCTCCCGTTCACTGGGTTTGCTTAAAGCTTTTCTGGTTACTTTGGCTTTGTGCACATCTATTGAATGCCTGGAAAAAATCTGAAATATGAGAAACTTTGGGCAGGAAAAAATATTTTAAGGTTATTTCCTTAATGCATCTTCAATGAATGACAAAGAAACCTCTTGACCTTATGCCTGAACTTCATGAACTCTTCTGAAGGAGAACCACCGTTCCTCACGTTTCTAAGAATAAATCAAAATAAATTAAAAAAAAAAACCCTGCAAGTAATCCAACAAGATATAGTCCCAAAACGCTTTCCTAGGGGAAGAAAAAAAAAAAAACCCTCAGGACACATCCATACATTGTAAGAAGCCAAAAAACACACAAACCCAATTTTGCCCTTGCTTTGCAGCTCAGCTTCAATACACACTGAAATCCATATGGATAAACACATTATGTTGGCAGTACATCCTTTCCAGGGATTCTTATACTATAGAGGTGGCCAATGAGCTCTGAAGTTTCATACTGAAACTTTCATTCTTTTCTCAAAGTAAGATTCACACGCAAGTCCCAGCCCTTAATGGGGGTGGGGGACAGCTATCACAAGCAGTTTTGTTGATTCAGGAGAGAGCTGGAAGAGCAAAGAGTACACAGAGGAAGCATTTATAGACCAGCCCTCAAATAAGGACAATGAAGCAGGGTGGTTAGCAGCCTAACACAGCTAGATCCCAGATTCATTGAATATAAAAGGAGGAAATCCAAGTCAGACTTCTGTAATGAATGTTTCTTCCTCAGGTTGTAGTGAGCTATCAGATGGAGCCAGAAGGAAAAGGTATAAACATTTTATAGCGCTTCCAAAGGAGAAAGGGATAGAAAACCTCAAAAGCTTTCAAGGAGCCCCTAGAGAGAGTGCTGGGCCAACACCCTAGGCATCTGCCTTACTCATCCTCAGGCCTACAGCACATGGAGAACACCTGTCGGGGAACCTGTTTCTCCAATGAGGTACAAATTCTCAGGACAGCTTGCTCTTGAAAGCTAGCCACTGTCAACGCAGACCTGATCTTCCTCACCCCTGAGGAGCACCTCTGGCCCCTAACACACCCCGTCAGGCCCACAAAGCTCCCTCTCCCTGAATGGACAGATGTGGAGACACAACTCAGACATGTACCTGCTACCCTTTCCAGAACCGCAGGGCACCATCACACTTAGAGCTGCAATTTACTGGCTGAGTCAATTTGCCAGAGACAATATGAGCCACAAGTCAGGCCTCTGCAGACAGCTCTGGCCCCAGTGTCCAGAAGAGCTGTGAGGAACTGCCATTGCAACCGTCAATGCAGTAATTCTCCCCCAAGGCTCCTCAAAAGGTATAAGTATGTGCAAAGGCAGAGGCCCCTTGCAGTTACTGAAGAGCTCTTTGATGGCTTTGGTTGGCCACTTGTGTCTTATACTGAGATCTTGCCACCCCCATCTTTCTCACCATCAGCTGGTGAACGTTGCTCTGTTAACCATGGCCAAACCAAGACCACAGCACAGTAAGCAGTGCTACTGATAATGCTGAAGAAAAGCAATTTACCGACGTGCAGCGCAGAACGGTTAGGAGGAGCTCATCTCCGGCCTCCCTGTAACAGAGACAGATGCAGTCAGCCAAGTTTAGCAGTCACCTGAACCTTCCTTTTCAGCTCTGCTGACAGATGGCATTAACAAGGCCTTCAGCAGATCAGCTTTCACTGTGAGGGAAGAAGCGTGGCTGGGCAGGATGCAACCCACAGCCTCCAACATGGAAAGCACCATCTTGGCAGAGAATGCTTTGCTTTTAGGAAGCAGGAGAAACCCATGGGTCCTGCTGTGAGACCTCTGTGGCCTACAACCTATGCAGCAGCATTTTAGAAATACTATATGCACCTTTTGAACTACACAGTGAATTTGTATCTCTGGGACTTGTTTAAAGAGGGCATTCAATGTCCTATGCCTAGCCTTGCAAGGCTCAGCTTAGGCAGGACCCTAAGGAATGCCACATCATTTGAAAGGGAGAGATATTCCTTTGTGATAATGATTTCCTTCACACTACCACGTTTAGACTGCACTCTGTCAAATACCTTCATAATCACTTTTAAAACTTGGCTCCTGTATCTTTTCTCTCACTCCTTTCACCACCTCATCCCTGTGACAGCCCTTTAGTTTCTCGAAGGGCCATACCTGATGATATCAGCTGCATGTTCAATAGAAATATCTTCCACAGCTGTAGTGTTTATCAGAAGGATCTGATCACCCGGCAGCAACTTTCCATCAGCTGTGCTTCCTGTTGGAGATCAGCATATTGTTAGTCATGACAGATATAATGCAAACAGAACTCTTGCTATTTGAGATGGCTAACTGCTCTATGACCTGAAAAGCTCCTGTTCTCACATGGCTTGTTCTTGACTTAGCAACTTCCTCTAGATGGTGAAATAGGGGATCTGGGGCCCTGGAACTAGCTGATATGCATTGGCTGTGTACGTGCCACATAGCCCTGGCTCTCCTCTGGCCAGGAGAGCCATGCTTCCGTACCTCAGGAAATAATTCTTATGCATATCTTTTTTCACAGTTGTAGTCCATCAGCACAGTACTGTCACAGTCTGAAGCCAATGACACACACTGCACGTCTGCGGTTGCAGGAGGAAGGCTCAGGCTTTTGGGACAACATAGAAGGACTTGGAGGTGGAGGGAACCAGCTGTTTGTTGGGACAGACCCTGGCCCATGATGTCCCCAGGCCTAGGTAGGACTTGGGAGACAGATATTATTTTGGGTCAAAACTGTACTGGGGCTCTGATAAGAATTAAGCAGAATGGATGACTCAGAGGCATGTGCTCTCTCCCTGGCTCTGTTAGCAATACAGATGAATCCATGGAAGAGCTAGCTAGGCTCAGCCTCCCTTATCTTCCCTGGTGCCCACACTCAGAATGGGCTTGGGGAAGACAGGAAGATTGCTTCCAACTTTACTTTTGAGTTCATAGTGACCAGAGCTGTTGGTAAGGTGCTGAAAACCTAGGGTCCCACAAACATAGATGGACTGTGCCTCTACAGCGAGGGTGGACTGTGCCTCTACAGTGAGGGATAAGCAGCACAGGATCAGCACAGAATTTCCATTTTCCATATTGTCTAACCTTGCTGGTTTCTCATCCTTCAGAACCAGGGTCCAGCTATTGAGAGCTGACTGCAAACCCTGGGCCCAAGAAGGCCCGCTGACATCCTGGACAGCTGTCACAACATGACACTCCCTGTTTGCAAATTCTGCACCATGAGAAAGATCCAGAGGTTCATCACAATCAACATTAGACACAAAGGCAAGGGCATGATGCTATAAGCAAGTGCTAAGGTTTTAGATCAAGGCGCTACACTAGACCTTGGGGTATGTGGGTTGGATTCCTGAAACTGTTACTTCTCCTTTGTGACTCAGGCTGTTCCTGTCCTTTTGAAAAAAAGGGAGAAGGTTTCCTTAAACACACGCGCTGCTGGGAGGTTGCATAACTTGTGAGAAAGAATGTTTCAGAGCTTTGCTACCCAGAACAGTAGCAGCCACAGAATCTATGGGGCTAAGGAGTAGGTGATCCTCTGATCCGAAAAACAGGTTTCTGTGAATGTGAACCTCAGCTTTGTCACTGCTTGCCTGGTGGGTGAGGCATTTAATCGCTCTGACAGACAGGTTTCCTCCTGTATCAAACTAGCACCTGTCCCTCAGGGAAACCATAGCATTAGGTAACATAGGTGAAAGGCAGAACACAGAGAAAATTGTCTGGAATTGCACACAGGGCGTTTAACCTTTAGCTCCCACAGCAGAAAACAAGACTTAAAAGGAAAGGTTTCACTGCAGCTCAGTTTTAATAAAATGTCCAAGTTTTCTGATTAGGAAGAAAAAAGGCATAACAGAAAACCTCTCTCCCCACTTTTATTAGACCCCAAAGCTCTATCCCAATTTAGCAACAGATTTCACATGTGATGAATGGAAAAAAAGTTAAAATTTCACTAAAAAGCACTGCCAAAGAAGAGAGAACATGCTGTAGCACCTTTGCTAAATACGCAGCAAATAAGCACACTTGGGCAGGCCACTGCCTCATCCAGATGGGGAAACAGAAACATAGGGCTGCTAAATGCCACAGCCTACGTTGACAGCTTACCTGGCACAGTCATAATTGAACAGCTGAAGTTTATCACAGAAGCCATCTGGGACACTTTAGGCTTCTCATATCTGCTGCTGTAGGGAGAGAGAAAAGATGCCTACCTGCAGTGACAGATGTAATTGTAAGAGGAAGGTTTGGAGAAATCTCAAAGCCATAGTGATGGTGGACCAAATCTTTGTATATTGTAACAGTGAGTTTGACACGGCTAGCAGGCTGGCCAATGCCATCACTGGAGACATCTGTCACAGATGCTCTTCCCCTGTGAGACAAGAAGCTGGTGATTAATTAAGACACAAGCAGAAAATACCTCTTCAAAGAGGTTGAGAATCCCTACACTCCTGTTTCAACGGGCTGTACTAATATCAGGATAGCTGATATTAGTGATAACTGATCAGGACAGATCAGTTCTTCCTGGTATATCAGCATGCAGATCCACGTTGAGCAGGCCTGCAGGGCTTGCCTTGGGCTCCAGTGAAAGCTCAAGAAGCCAGGGTAGTTCTACCAACTAGTTCCAAGGCGAGCTGAAACCACAATTCTTTCAGCCACCCCAGCCCAGTGGTCACACAGAGGGAGAACTCCAGGTCCTCCCAGCAGCAAGCCCTGACCTGTATGGGTCACAGCAACACTCCTACCCTGCAAGGCAGCAAGAGAACTTGCAGCTCTTGGCTCCTCCCAGAATCCAGTCAAAGGATGAGTGGACTTCCCACTCGTATACAGATGAGGCTGTATCAAGATTCCATTAAAGCCAAGAATAAATGCAGAGGAATTTGGAGAAGTCTCCAAAGTCTACCCTAAGCTTTATATGTGGTGCCCAGGCATGATCATCTGTCACAGCCTTCTCTGACAGGAGCTTCCCAGGTGAAGACTGATGAACCCTCCTCTCCACCAGCCTAAGCAATGCCAATAGCTCCTGGCCCCTTCAAGCCCAAGCTCTGGATTGGGGAGAGGAGTCAGATCACTGCAGCTGGAATTCCATGCGAGAGCAGCTTCAGAACTGGACCGTAGCTCCCAAGCCACTGTCCCTGAGGAGCAAGAGGCCATGGGCAAAGAATACAGGAACACTTGGATGGTTTCCATCAAAGCTCATTTCCTGCCTCACTAATGCACTTCTGTCTTGCCCGTAACTCTTGCACAGGAACACGCTGGAGAAAGCCCAGTCCTGTGTTGCTCTTCTATTCGTGACTCGAGACACAGGAAATGTCGAGACATTAGACAAAAGAACATCTGTCAGTTTCAGCGGGGATTCAGACAACAAATTAAGAGCTAAACACATAGGTGCCTTTGTAGATTGAAGTCCATCAGCTAAATGCCTGTAAAACTTCCACTATATTTTCTCTGATGTAGCATTGTACTGCTTGAGTCTGTTGGAAATTTTAAAATATAAGTGTCCATCCTATGGATTAGCAAATTTAACATTTGACAGATCAAAGAGCTAGAGAAATAAAAACCCAAAGAAAAAGCAATTGCAATATGCAGCGAAAAAACATTTGTGATCAAATTCAAATAGTGATGCTGGCAGGAAATAATCAACACAAAATTCAGGATGTAGATCATGTTTCAGGTTCTTCACACAGTATGGGATTGCTTAACCTGATAATTCAGGTTAAATTGACCTGTTCAATCTCTTCAGGCTGATTATTCCAGTCAGTGTTTGAAAGAGCTCAAAACTCTTTGCCATTCATAGGAGCAGGCAACAGTGGGAATCACAGAGCATGGAAATATCCCAAGTTTTAAATGAAGTATGTGCATCTGTATTAACAGCTGAATTTTGATTCATTGACCTCAGGAAAGTAAAGCAGCCATGGACCAGGATATTGAGCATGCTCTTCCCCCCTTTAAGTGTAAAACAGTCTTGCTCTAAAAAAACAGAACAATGGCAAGCCACAGAGAAAAATAAAACCCACTCTGCAGGAGAAGCACATTTCACACTGAACAGTACTATTGTTTCTGTGGACATGGCTCGTGAAATCAGCACTGGGGAAAGCAGGAACGTCGGGCCCACTGGAAACTGCAGGGGACTGCTTAAAAACCTTGAATTTTCTAGGGAATGCAACAAGCATATTTCTCAAGAAGAACTGAAAGAATGAGTCAGATCTGCAATCTGATTGCATCTGTTCAGCGGAAGCAAGCTCGCACTGTCTCTGACCAAAGCTGATCAACAGGTGTTTCACTCACAGCATGTTTACCTGGAAGCGCTACTCCGAGAGCGATGGAGCCATTTTGCTACCATTTGCTCTATGCCTCGTGCTTTGCGCGTCTGCACAAAGTTAGTCTCCAAATCTTCCATTTATCTGAAAGTGACAGAAATCACAGGAGAACAGAATGACAGAAGATCTACGAAAACTTTTGTACACTGGTCACAGTTCCTAAGATCAGTTCAGAACTCCTGTTAAAAAAAAATGGCACCATGGGAATAATACATATTTTAACAACCTAGCTGGTATTTTTCTTTGTCCAGTTACTAGTTGCTATGCTGCATTAGCATAACAAATAAGAATTCGGGTAATCTTTGTAGTCCTTTTTCATGATTTCACAGCAAGAGAAAGCTGCTTTCTCTAGTCCGTAGGAAAGACCCTTTCCATTTTGGTCCACAATCTCTCAATTGTAAGTTTGGGAATACCTACCAAGTACATTGGTCCAAATTCGACACACATCTTTCATTGACCATCAGCGTTACAATCAGTTAGTCTGTTACGTAGTAAACATATTACTTCCACATGTATTAACACCTCAACAGTTAACAGTTGCAGTATGGGCAACTGAACTAGCCAGCAGTCTTATCAACTACATAATTACAGCAAGTGGCACATACAGCCCAACAACATTTGCAGTTCAGTCAATAAGAGAAAAACACCTAACAGTGAGGACAGACTTGAAAAACAGAGGCCTTTTCACTCTAAATCATTATGGTCCATACAAAAATGCAGGGATATTGCAGCAAAGCAACTATAACTACCTCATGTCCCATTTACTTTTTACAATGCTCATACTAGCTCTAGAAAGACAGGGGACTTTCAAAGAGCCAGTTTCTATCCATCACACATATCTGCATCATTTCTTCAAGTAGTATTTCCATAAAATTGTCTTCTAGTCTTCTCAGTTTCTCTCTAAATTAAACGGCCAGCAGCCCACATTTTCAGATCTTAAGACACTATGTTCTGTTTACATTCTTCACAGGCTCTGGTTGAACAATATGGAAATAGACACTTACCCAACCTGCTCCCTGTGCATGTACCCACTGCAGTTGACAGGCACTGCTATTGTTCAGGTTTTTTTTAGTTTCACAGAACTGAAGAACTGTGACATTTGAAGAATTTGTCTCAGACCTGGTTAATTCACCTTGAATTTAATCACATCCAAAAACTGTATTTCTAGTGAAGATGCAAAGGCCATGTCTGCTTCTGGATCCCAAACTGAAGCTGCAAGACTACACTGTATTGAGCCAGTTAATTTGCAGCTTTAACATTGTGCCTTCCGAGATGTATAAAGCCCATAGTCACATAGTACTTGCTCAAACACAGGCATAAACTGTTGATTGCAGGTGAACCAAATGCAAAACAGAACAGAAAATATGTTTGTATCTACAAAAAGTCATAAAGAACGTCAACCCTTGGCTTTTCAAATATTGATAAGGCTACAGACTTATTATACTCACCTTTCAAGGTGTCTCTTCTTCTCAGCCTGTAATATCCGTAGGTGCCCAGCCTCTCTTGACTACCTCTCAGACAGTAAGTTCTGTGTGCCAGGCACATTCTATGTTATACTGGGACCATGTGCAGGACAATGGGCTGCTGGTCCATTGCAGGAGCTCTGCTGCAATAGAAATACTAATAAATTACCATCACTGCTCTTAAGATATAAAAGAAAAGGAGGGAAGCTGCCAGTAAAGAGGCATGAAACATTCTGTCTGAACATAAATTTGACCTC